AAAGTTCTCGGTAGACAAAGAAGCCAGAAGGCAACGACCGTAACGCCCATGAAGCCAGCCGTACAGATCGCATGCTCCGACATGGTGTTAAGCGCAATTGAAACGGTGACGGTAGCAGATGTGCACGTAAAGCAGATGTTGATGATCATAGCGATGCCACCCAGAATTTCGAGAGGTTTGCCGCCAACAACCTTGCACATGTCGACAATGTTTACGCAGTGCGGGATACCTGCGGTACAGCTGCAGAAGTTCATAGGCCGTGTAAGTCGAGAGGAGGCCAATGCCGACGATGGCAATGACGCCAGGGACAATGCCAAGAGTTTGGAGGGTACCGGGGGAGTGACAGAATGCCGATTCCGACTTGATTTGTGATCAAAATGATGCCGGCCATCCAACGTCCAACAGTACGGTAGTTCTTCTCCCCAGAGCTGAAGATGTTCTGAGCTTGGCCGCCGTCGACGCCGAGACTTGCCTTCCTCTCCTCAGCTGCCTGCCAGGAGTCGCGGCTATTGTTGTAGCTTGGCAGAGATGGATCGCTGCCGGCAGGAGCCTTCTCGTGACCCATAACGCCTGCGTTAGGGTTTCTGGGGGTATCTGCTATTCCATGATTCTGGGAACGCATGCCGTCAGCGGCGGCAAGATCGTTGCGGCGGCCCTCCGCATAGGCGCTATCATTATAGCGGTCGTGATCCGCCATATCGTGCTTCCTTTCTCCTTCCGTTTGGCGACGTGTGCAGCCAAGGCGTCGGGCTGGCTGTGTTCTCTTCAATGTTGAAAGTACGTGATCTGACGAAAGGGAAGCTCAGGGGCTCAAGGCGAAACCTTGACTTGCCGAGGGATGGGAAAAGTAGATTTGCTGTCGAGGCAAGAAGTCAAGAGAATCGAGACGAAGCCATCTTATATCAAGCAGCATCACCGAGTTATCATTGCTAATAGCGTGCGGGGGACTTGAAGGGTTCCCCTAGTTCATGCGTAAGCTTATCTCTGATGGACGTTTCCCCGGAGTCCATTCCACCATATTCGACGCAGAGTCAAGTGGGAACGGCGTATCCGTCGAGCAACGACGTCAGTTGTGACGAAGGTGGATAGGAGTCGGGATCAGTTGGCCAGTGGAGTCACTACCGTGGTATGGCTTCGCTAACATGACCTGGCTACGCAGGCCAAGAATTGCAATAGGGGGTCTGCAAGAAGCCAAGGGCCGAACGGCTGCAGGAGAAGCGTGAAGGAAAGGCGATCGAATGCGCATGTGTGCTGAGCCGTGTGCGTTGCCGGTGACCTATATGGAGTCATGACAGAATGGTGACTTGCTCTCTCCGTCGACCCAATGTTCCTTCCCATTCTTGCTCTTGAGATGATCCTAGCTAAAGATGTGGAAAGCATCAATAAAGTCGTCGATGATCCAAGAAAAAAGAAGGCTCCTCTTCCTCTTTTCCGAGAATCTCGTAGACTCGAGCATGAATCGCAAGAGCGGACGATGAAGAGGCGGCGGAATGAGGCTGTCAAAGGCCAAGAGGCTAGGCGGCCTCCGTAGTCTCGGCACTCTCGGCACTCGTCATTCGGAGACACAACGTCCACCGGCACTCCGCACGAGCCGTAGTGCAGGTCTTGTTTCTCTCTTCCCCCTCTCGTTGGCTCATGTATTTCATCTGGGAGGATAAGTAGCAGCAGCGATCGCCCGCCGAGACCGCCAATCGTCACCTCTCCTCTCCTTACAGTGCTGACTGTTGCGTAACGCGAATGTGACATGAATACAACGGTAAGGACATTCCCTGGCCACCATGAGTCGTACATCGAACAGCTGGATGAGCTGCAATAACGCAGCAGGGCAGTCGGGCGGCGGCCTCTCCGCTGCAGGATTGGCGATTGGGCTGCCGTGGCCTGAGAGTCTCAGCGCTCGTGTTGGCCCTTGACTTTGTCAGGAATTTGTTCGCCATTCCGTCATCGTCATGTGCATAGCGTTGTATCCAGCATATATATCCGAACGTCGTCTGTTGCAAATCCGTGGCAGCTACTGCGCCCCTTCTCGCTGTTCAAGGCATCAGCGCGGGAGGAGGTTTCCAAAACACGAATCGCACTGACATCATATCGTGCACCTTGCTCGCGCGCGAGAGAATTTTGGAAAGGGTTTGACATCCTTGAAGTATGGTAGCGAGTTTGAGAGCACACCACTGTCTCTCGGAACGGACAAGATATCTTGGGGGCTAGGGCTCCAGGCTTGAGTCAACCCACCACTCAATCATGTCTCAAGGCGTTCTACCCAGTCGTGGCAAATTTAGGTCCAAAAGCTGCGAGCCGGGATCGCATCGTAACATTGGAGACGATACGTGTTTACCAGAAGAAAAATAGTCGAGCCGCCTTCAGGCACTCGCGGGTAGGTCAAAGTGCTTGCTCACTAGACTGGCAGACCAAGCTTTTTCCGCAGCAGCCTACTTGTGGTTCGGACAGGGGGTGCTTGCGTACTGTAGCTATTTCCAAGTAAAAGGTTTTTCATTTCAGAACACCTTGATTAGGCGCAGGGTCAATAGTTTTCGATGTATCGGGCATTTTGTTTAGCAGACCATCCACACTCACAGCATACCTACCTTACCTTAGGCATATCGCGCTAATCCCTCTGCTGAGGTCCCGGAGAGAAGAGTAGTCATGTTTCATTGTTAAACCGCGTGACTACAAGAAGTCACGCGCAAACTAGTTGCTTCCGAGTTGAACCAAGATGAACGGCCAAATCGCAAGGACCGCGGCTCATGTTTATTGTGTCCATGCACAGTCGCGGGCTCAAGTTTTGGGTATGGGTTGAGCCAGCGACATGACATGGGCACGTGACTCCAATCCAGCCAATGCGGACCCGCGAATTACTGGTTACTGCATTGCTTAGTCACCAGCGAAGCTCAGACCTCGAAACTGCTCCGTCTGTTTGAACGTCTCTCGCTCCCGACGACCGTGATCGACGACGTCTCGAAGCACAATCACCACTTCAATTGGGATCCCACCACCTCAATTGCATTCACGATGGGTTCCGACAATGCGCCAAAAGGTATACCGCTCTCCCCTCCTCTCTCCCGTCCTTCTTGCTCGCCGCAGATCGGCAGCAAAACGTGCCGCCCAGACTGACCATTGCCCTTCCCTTCCCAGGCCCTGCGACGCGCGAGGAGATGCGCGAGGCCCGCCTCCCCCTCGCCTACAGAGACAGCTGCGCCCACCTGCTGATCCCCCTCAACCGATGCCGTACCGAGACGTGGTACTTGCCCTGGAAGTGCTCGGTGCGTCCCACCCTCCTGCCCCTCTCCGGGCTAGCCCCCATATCGGGAGAGAGAAACACAAGGGCAGTGCTGACGTGGGGAAATAGGACGAGCGCCACGGCTACGAAAAGTGCCAGTACGAGGAGTTCAAGAAGCGCGTTGCCAAGATGGACGAGCTGCGGGCGAGCAAGGACGGCGCGAGGAGCAACTAAGTGCTGGGTGGATTGGTGCAGGACAAAGAGCCCGGGCAGCTGCTGCGACGAGGCTGTGTACGTACATACCGACGACGACGGGAGAGGGATTGGAAGGCTTTTATGGCGGTTAGAGATGGGAACGAATTCCATGGATATACCGCTTGCCACTCTTCCCGGCGTGAAGCGTTGCGACTATTGGCCTGACCTGGCACACCGCTCTCTCCAGCCATGGCACGAGATGCAGAGGACATGACGAACAACGAGTATTCCAGTACGGCTGGGTATCCTATGCTAATGTCGGTAGAGACTGCCGCGCCCAACGAACGAAAGCATGACGGAAACGAGAGGTGGCTGAACGAATGCTCTGCTCCGATGTCCAACGAATGTGTCCATCCTGCTTATCATACAACCAAGGTAACTACTCATGCCAGATGAGAACCAACCCCATACGCCGCAGTCCCGTCACGCGTCGACCTTGACCATCGGCTCCCACGGCCTCGCGCTGTTCCAGAGATATGTGTCCGGCTGCTTGTCGTCGCCAGACTCGACGGTGTACTTGACAAAGACGGGACGCTGCACGCGCAGCGGCGCGGGGACGAGCGAGTTCTCCCCGCGCGGCGGCTCCCGAGCCGGCGCCGCCGCCCTCGCCGCCGCCACGGAGGAGAGGAAGCCCGCGACGAGGTCCTCGTAGGCGTCCATGCGCGGCAGGCACTCGTTGACGACGACCTGGAAGCGCACCCTCTGGATGTCGATGACAATGGTCCGCACCATGGCCGGGAAGCCGTAAGAGAAGCCGCTGCTCAGGGGCCAGCAGGTGCGGCGGCGGTAGCCGTTGCTGTGGCCGTCGTACCAGACGGCGGTGCCGTGCTTGGACGTGTCGCGCACGACGAGGCGCTTCTCGGCGTCAAAGGTGATGTGGCAGTGGCGGCGGCTGATGCCGCGAAGCTTGGGCAGCACTATGTCGCAGGTGCGGGGGTCGGTGCCGATGACGAAGCCGTGGAGGCCCTTGGGCCGGTGGTCAAAAGTCAGGGCGAGGGCTGCGTTGGGACGCTTGGGCGTGAGCACCGTTTCGTTCTCCTTGTCGGATGCCGAGTTGTCGTCGTCGTCTTCTTCGACGGTGATGATATTGGCGTCTTGGTGTTCCCCGACGAGGACCATGTCGTCGAGGGCTCGGTCGAGGTGGATGCGTCTCGCGCTGTTGCCGACCATGTGTGTTGCTTGAGCTGCCCAACGGTTGTTGTTCGCGGGTAGCAGCCAGGCGATAGGGGTGGGCATTTGGGTGTCCATGATGTAAAGACGGTTGGGGAGGAGAAGTAGATGGAGAGGGTCAAGATCAAGTCAGTGGGTCGATCGATGATGCAAAATACAAAAATGCAAAAGATTATACGCCTCAAGTTGGGAATAAAATAAAAAAAGGGACTGGCTGCGGATGATGCCCAAAGAATGAAGACACCACTGGAAAGCTCAAGCTCGGGAGCTGTAATGAAGAACGACGGAATGGATGAGCTGAAAACTGGTTGTACATGCAGAGAGAGTTCAAGATGGATGACAGCAGCAGGAACGGCGTCCTTTATGAGGAATTTCTTGGGCACGTAACCTGGATGTTTTGGTCTGGAGAGGCGGAGAGGGGAGATGTTGATGCACGCTTCACTTCACAGTCCTCATCTCAGGGCAATCGGCGGCTGGCCACTTATGCATTTGCAGGGAAGTAAACAAAACAATTCTTCAGGCAACGACAGGCATGGCCTCTCATGGGCAGAGCAACTCGTGGCTCTGCTGTGAAACGGGCACGAGAGAGGTGCCCAGATGGGGATGCAGTCACAGTGTGGGTGGCTCGTGGCCAATGAATTGGTGGCGATGGGAGCGCGTTGGCATCGCCAGTGGCAACGATGGCCCCAATCTGGACAGCACTCAGCTGCGCTGGCCGAATCGCGTCGACTGCTGCCGGAGACGATTGAAACATGGAAAATTGTGACTCTTTGCTGCCTCGTGGCAGGGCCTCATCAAGCTGTTTCCTGGCTGCTAACAACGTACATACCTACGTACCTTAACCTTAGGTACCTACCTAAGGTAGGTGGTGTCAGGTTGGTGTCGCCGAGGAACACAAGTGGATGGAAGTCGCTTTGCTGGCTTGGTCATCATCAGGTGCCTTTCTGCTGCATGTTGTAGCGAAAGAAACACGACACGCCCGTGGGTACATCCAGCGGCCGACACTGGGGCCAGACGTCGGCATTGATCACGAGGAATCGCCGTAACCGGCGCGCGCCTGCACTCGGCTCAATCCACGGAAGATGGAGGGGCGGGGGGCTCGTCCAAGTTGCCGCGCGCTGTACATGTGTGCGTCTGCACGCTGCCGGGGGGGGGGGGGCCTAAAACCCCTTGAAGAACCCTGAAAGACGGCCGGACACTCCAGGAGAACCTCGGCGAAGAAAGGCGGGGAGGGGGTCTTGGGGAGACGGATGCTGGCTGATTAATAGCGGTCAGCATTTCATAATTTTGCCCATGTTGGCGGCAACATCCCCACACGCCGCGCACCATCATCAATTGAACAGTGTCTCGGTGGTCGGGCGGAAGCGGAGTCATGACTGGACACCACCACATGTCGATCCATCTCCGGCATTAGCTGACGACTTCTTTCCCTCTCAACAACCACCATTTCGCAAACAACTGCTGTCTCTCAAGCCATTGTCAAACGCTACCAGTACCCTTCGTCGCACTCTGTCCTACACACGTTTCCCCCTTCTTGTTGTATCACGTCCAAGCGATTTCGGCGAATACCCCGCCAAAAATGCCCGCCTTCGACTCATCAACAGGTGCCGGCAACGCCAGCGAAAGCGGCGCTGCGCAGAATGAGTGGCACGAGGACACACCCCATCTCCCATCCTTCTACTCACCTCGGACACAAGCCCTCGAGCGCCCGGCCCCCCAGAGCGATGACAAGACGCAAACTTCCCAAGAGCCCGATGTCGACGAATTGCCCAGTCTAGCTTCCACGCCCCTACGACCTCACGACCCCGCCTTCACCACTCAACCGCCGCCCTCGCTGCTTTCGCCCGCCTTCACACCCCCGGCGACCCCAGGTACAGCGACACCCACCACCGAGGCCGCCCCGCGCGGAGTGCCCGTCGACAGTTCCATCCCTACCGGAGGCTGCGGCAGCAAGAAGCCACGCCTTCTCGAGACACTGCCCAAAGTGCAATGCATTGTGCGCGCGCGGATTCCGACCGTCGCCGGGACCGAAATGTTCCTTCACCTCTACAGTAACGATGTCGACAACAAGGAACATCTTGCCATTGTTTTTGGGCGCCAGATCCGCAGCACCTCACTCGACGCCGTACAGCCGGGCGAGACCGAGATGGACCGCATGGTCCCGGCGCATACACGGGCCGCCTGTTCCCCGGTCGCACAACGAGCGGCATGGCCAGCGGCACTGGCTCCACGCCTGACTCCGCATCCAAGGAGCAGGGGGAGGAGGCGCCGCCTGCGCCGACGGGCCCTCCGCTCGTGCGCATCCATTCCGAGTGCTACACCGGCGAGACGGCGTGGTCGGCGCGCTGCGACTGCGGCGAGCAACTCGACGAGGCGGCGCGGCTGATGAGTCTGCCGGGAAACCACAATGGCGGAATCATCATCTACCTGCGACAGGAGGGTCGCGGTATCGGCCTGGGCGAGAAGCTCAAGGCGTACAACCTCCAGGACCTAGGCTCCGATACCGTCGAGGCCAACCTTCTGCTGCGGCACCCCGCGGACGCCCGCAGCTACGGCTTGGCGACGGCCATGTTGCTTGATCTGGGCCAGGACGAAGTGCGATTGCTGACGAACAACCCCGACAAAATTCGCGCTGTCGAAGGGCCGAACCGAGAGGTCAGGGTGCGGGAGAGGGTCGCCATGGTGCCATTGTCTTGGAAGGGCAAGGGTGGGTTCAAAAGCGAGGAGGTGGAGGGATACCTGAAGACCAAGGTCAGTAGCCTTTTCCCGACCCAGTCGTACTCTAGAGCATCGCTAACAATCGGCAGATCGAGAAGATGGGCCACATGCTGGATTCGGGCACGGTGCCTTCTTGAGAGCGATCCTCAGGTCAAAGGGAACATAGTTGGATTGGGAGCATTTAGCATTTTGATGGAGTTTTGCGGCAGCCCCGTTTGGGGCGCCTTCTTTGGCCTGATAGACTTGCACATGACAGGCAAGTGAGAGGTTGTACCAATGAAACAAGCTTAACAGGACCTCGGTTTTGCACGGTGACGTACGGCGTGAAGCGGAGCCGTCTTATGGCGAGAAGAAATTGACATTTCGGGAGGACCAAGAAGGGCAAATCCCCAGGGTCACATCTTGCGTCAAAAGTACTGCAGAAAATATCCCACCTCCTCGTGGAGGAAGGCTGGGATGGGACATATGCAAGATGAGAATGCACCTGCTGCAAGACCAATTGAAATGGGATTCTGACTGCCGCCATGGACCAAACGCGACTACCCTTGTACGCATCGTGCTTTCCCCACGCGTCCAACTGTCTGGAAAAAGCAGCTGGGACTCCACATTTGTGTCCTGAGGTGCGTACCTGCCAACCCAACCGCCAACCGTCGACCTTGATTTTCACCTACCACATCGACCGCAGGGGACCTATTCTACATGCCCATGACAGCCTTGTTCATGTCGCTACCGGGACAGAACTCCAACTTATGACGTGAAGCAAGCTCTTCCCGCAGTTGGCGTTGTCGCATCCACCATGTCCGACAAAGAGCTCCGTCTGCGACTACTCGTCCGCCGTCATGGCGTCCCTGAGGTCAAGCTCGTGTGGAACGTGCCCACAGGCCCCGATTGGACCATCGCAAAGCTGATTGCCCAAGTCGACGAGGCCATTCCCCTTGAGAGCGGCGAGTGGGGTCTCGAGGACTACGCCGTTGAGCTAAGGGGTACTGACGGCGAACCTTTTGAGTGTCTGCACTTTCAACAAGTCTCCAAGGTCCTGAAGGACGACGATCAGGTCATGTAAGTGCCACGGCCCCTCCACATACCTGTGTACGTGTACGGCTTACTTACTTCTTGTCCGCAGTATCCGATCCCTCCTGACCGAAGACATCAAGCGTCGCCGTCTCAGTGGGAGACACCAGGTCTCCTTCGACGGCAAACATCTCGTTGATGGCCTCGCTTTCGGCCGACCTTGGCTCAGAACCCCGCGCGACCGTCCACAAGTGGAACTGCCGCCCCGAAAGCGAGCCCGACTTACATGGGAAAGCGATGACGATGCTGCCGCCCCCAATCCTCCCGACGGTTCAGACGAAGACGCGGACCGATCCCCTTTACTCATAGAATATGACAAAGATGATCGTTCCATGAAGGGCCACTCCAAGAATGTCAGATTCCACGCCGAACAAGACAAGGACTCAAAGGACATTACTAGGGATGAGGAGGGTGCTGAGGACGAATTTGGAGCAGATGACTTCCAGTCCGGCAGTGAAAGCTCTGACAGCGAGTCGGTCATGGAAGATGACGAGGCGAGTTTACTTGACGAGCTCAGGGACATTCAGGAGGACCATGCCGCTGTAGAGGGCGACCATGAGGACCATGAGGTGCAACTGCCGCCTCACCAGGTTCAGCAGATATCAGAGTCCCCTCTACAGCCACAACTAGTGACCGTTCAGGCATGGATCGCCTCTTTGCGTATCTCCTTTCCCGAAAAGTCCGTTGAAGAAATTTCTCAAGCCTTGATAGAAAGCCACTACGACACCTGGGAGGCATATCGTCGTCTGGACCGCCAGCTTTATCTCCAACAGGATCAATCGAGCCCTGTACGACCGTCGAACCCTGGTCCACCCGATGTGGCATCCATCAGCAGCTCATCGAGTGCCAGCTCCAGCTCCGACTCGAGTTCTGAGTCGGACTCGGATCTGGACACAAGAAATAAACCACGAGAGAGACTAGCTATCGACTCGGACGAAGATTCGGACGACGACTCGGATTTTGATGCAGATGATGCCAACGATGATAGCTCATCATCTGACTCCTCATCTGACTCCTCAGACTCATCGTCCTCGGACTCAGAGGACTCCGATCACAGTCCTTCCAAAAGGACAGCTATCTCGCGCAAAGCCGTACCGGTATCGACAATCGCAGATGGTGATCTCTCGGAGAATGATGACACTGTCATCCGATACCCTATGCAAGATACGCTAGCTACGGAAATTTCTGAGGAAGACAGCAGCAGCAGCAGCAGTGACAGTAGCAGCGATGACTCTAGCTCCGAATCGGAGCCCGAAGAGCTGACCAGCAAGGCTCCGATTAGCCTATCAAGTAAACAAGCCGCTGTGTCAGCACCACAACCGTCTTCCTCCGTTGTCGAGAACGATGACCAGCCGCTCGTGCCGCCAGGACGTGGAATGCGTAAGACACAAAAGAGAAACCTCAGGCGACGGTTGGCCAAGAAAATGGCATCCAGAGATCAATCAGAACTGAGCATCAATGAGCCTTCTGCCGCTTCCACGCCTGATGCCTCCAAGTCTCGGGAGGAAGCAGAGTTTCTGGCACGGAAAAAGGCACTCCTTGATATGATGGAAGTAGACACATCCGTACCATCGGCAAGTCCGCTCAAGTTGAACAAGTATCCCGAGTCTGCACCCGCAGATCTATCAGGTATCACAAGTCCTTCAACGTCCCCGGTAGGCGCTGTTGAAAACATAGACGGGCCAAGCGAACATTTGGACGCGACCTCGTCGGCAGCAAGTCGCCGCACCAAGTTGAATGTCGATGCGGGGCGTCGGATGCTGTTTGGCGCTTTGGGTCTCCGCAACCCAAAGACTAAAGCTGACGAAGAGAAGTTGCGCACCAGGTTGATGAAGGATGTGCGACCACATATCAACCCTCGCGTTACTGACGCAGAGGGCAGTCAGGCGGCAGCAGTAGTTCAGGCTACCGAAGAAGTCGAGGAGGAAGACCCGGACGCCTGGCGCCAGAAGATAAATTGCAGCGCTGTTGAGTGCTGTGACGAAGGCATCGTGCTGTCTGAACCGCCATTCCCTTTTGTGCAGCGGTGGGATCCTCAGCAGCAGTACGATCCGTCACAGAAGAAGGGCAAGCGCAAGCGACCTCAGCGGAATGCTTCTCAGTTCTACCAGGAGGATGACTCGCAAGCCTGGAAGAAGCAGAGAAATTCCTTGGAGATGACAGTCACGATGCATCATATGCCACAGAAGGGGACTTCACGCAGGATGATATTATTCTCCAGTACGATGACGCTCCCGAAGAAGAGGCTCCACCAGCGCAGAAAGCCCAAGCAAATAGACATGTACCTGATGTCGAAGACTTGCCACCGCTCCCAGCAGACTTGTCCACACTGAAAGACCTGGCTCCCGGGAAGGCAAAGCCGTACATGGTAATCACCTGGAAGCAGTGGCTTCTTTCCGGGCAGACAAATTGGCAACCTCAGCTCTCCAACGTGACAGCTGTCGTTGTCAAGGTCGCAGGGTAACGACGGCGCCGATCTACGACTGCTTCTGGCCATGAGGGACAGAGGGCTTGACAAGCCCGAGAAGACGTATGACCAAGGCACCGGCAAGCGCATATACGACAAGTTTGAGGCGCCTGACATCGACGAAGACGAAGATGAAGACGAGGTTGACGATGGCTATCGTGATGTGCAGTTCAACGAACTGATCGAGCCTAAGATTCTACTTGCTGCAGGTACCCAGAAGCAAGATGGTTGGACTGACAGTGTCGTGCGGGAGACACAGTCCGAAGAAGGCAGAGATCGAGACGAGAGACTTGTCAACGGGTATGAGGATCAAATGATGACAACTACGGCGGAACAGCCCGTGGAGGCTGACGGTATGCAGGGTGATTTAGGTTCTGATAGCAGTGCCGCTGTTTTGGAGAATGCTGCTAGTCCTACGCAGCAGAATCATGAAGAGGAGGATGCAAACCGACATGCACAACCTCGGAGCACACGCTCTTCTCCGGTCATCTCACAACAGATCGGATCCACGGCAGAACAACCATCGGCATCTGAAGAAGTATCCCACAACTCTAGGCAGTACCATGATACCATTCCCTCACCTCGCCATGCTTACAAAGATTTGGACGGTCTCCAGGATGGCCAGCCATCTCAGCAAGGCGACAACCATACCGAAGACCTAAACAGCCCGCCAGGAAGCTTGCGCACCGACCTCATCCCCGCCGATATGACACTCGCCGCTACCGGTGCGGTACCTCCACCGGGAGTACAGGGGGAACATGGTTTCTCGGATTCCACACCAAAGGCAAAAGCCCTGTTGAAGACACCAAGCAAAAACATTGCATCTGAGACGCCATCGCCGAGTCTGTCACTGCCCTCCGTCAGTGAAATTTGGGCGACCGCTGCGTCCCACAATTCGCATGGCACGCAAAGCCCCGCCCGAACGACGGCAGAGTCCATTTTGATTAGAAAGATACTGAAGGATGAGGAGTATGAGGAGGCTATGCGCCGCATCGATGACGAAGATGAGGGCGAGGAAGCGTTGCTAGGCACGCCCAAGAAGCGACTGTTTTCGAACACGCCTCGGCCTGCTGATGGTCAGAAGCCAGACTTCCAGATACCTCCAGGCAGTCAGGTCATTACCCTGTCGTCAGACCGAGAATCCCAGGGAAAGGCAGAGCAGCATGAAAAGGCGAGCTTGGATGAAGCTGGTGCCAAGGGCAGTTTGAAAGGTGCCCTCAAGGGGAAGAAGAACCAGGCGCAGCGCAAGAAGGAGGCCAAGTCCCGCGCTGTCAGTATGCCTACCAAGATGGGTAAACTGCCTCAGAAAGGGCGGACGTCAGTCTCCGCGACAGTCCAGTCCAAGAGCGCTGCTAAAAGTGGAAAGGGAAGACGTGCAGCCAGCGCGATGCGGGATGCATTAGTCTAGGCCCTGTGTACAGTAAGAACGTCCAAGAGCTTGTGGGAAAGGAGGAGTTTACGCATGTGGACATCAGAAGTAGTCTCAGCAAGATGATACCCATACATTACTTCATAATCAAGATATCGAAGGAATTCAAGCTCTTTGAGTCATTCTAGCCTTTCACTGCAGTTTGGATCTAGTCGAACAAATTGTGGCGGTTTGCGAATATAGGGTCGATTGAGTGGCTATCGTCGCCCCGCGGCTGTGACCACTACTGACCCCTGCATAAAGGTCGCTGATAGTCACCACCAACCGAAGGTCAATTCTAGTGCAACACCATCGTAAATTCAAAAAGCTTACTGACTTTGTCACCAGTGAAAGTTCGCCAATCTGCGCTTGTTGTGACAGGAATGACTCCCTTGTCGCGCAAGTGGATACAGCAAGCTGGGTGACAACGAGGGTGACATACGCAGACACGCAAAGCAGGCTGACTGACTCCTTACGATTGTCAATCGTCAGAGTTGATCTCTCAGGGGCTTGGAGTTCAGCTCATCAGGATGGAACGCGCACTTGATGGCACTTCTTTGACGCGTTAAGGGGCGGAAGACCCGCGCCTTGGTGATATACCCCATCCTCGCCTTTCTGGAGCATCTGCCCCTTGTGCTTCATGTTGCCTTTCATCTCCGATCTTTTCCATTCTTTGTTTGTCGCAGTGTGTTTCTATGCGACCGGTTCTGTATATACTTGCCTCCGTACGCTGTCCTGGAGACATTACCTCAAGATAATCACCACGGTCCTGGAGATCGCACAACCCGTCAAACGCAACCAGCCTGCTACCGTCCTTCATACAAGAAGTCGAAGAAGAAGACGACTGCACAATGGCGAAACCAAGGTGTCTCTCGCGCATCTTCGCCATGCTCTTCCTCGCATATCTCACAGCCGCCCTCCCAACAGCCGCAAACTCAACCGCCATGACGACGACAGTCACCTCGCCCTCAGCGACAAGCACACCGATCCCCTCCCCGGTCTACCTCCTCATCAATCCCGCCGCAACGCCCGCCGGCCCGCCCGACTACGACGCCCTCGTCCCCGCCGACCCGGCCACGACCCCGCGGGCCACGGCCGACCTCGCCGAGCACGGCCTCCGCCAGACGACGTACTACTCGTGCGCCACGTATGCGACGACGACGCACTGCGGGTGGCACAGACCTCTCATCCCCGTCGCCGCGTCGTCGGGGGCGGAGAAGACGGCCGGCGTGGGCTCTGTTGCGATGGTGGCTGCCGCGTCGATCGCCGCCCTGCTGGCGGTGGGGTTTCCGGGGATCGAATGCTTTTTCCGAAGGACGTGAATCATGAGTGCGTGTTTGCTTTGCGGTCCATGGCCGGTCGAACGACGGCGCCGCATGGCTGGCCAGGCCTGCGTGTTGCGCCGCGGTCGATGGTATGACACGGGATGGGAACCACGACCGAAGAGCGAGCTATGTAGCGAGGTCACCGTTGGCGACATGGATGGTGTGGGCGGCTTCCTGCTTGGGCACTGTTGCGTTGGGACGCGCAGCGTTTCCTTGGGCGGTGGTACATGCGTATCTTGCTTTGTATATATTGTAACGAGCCCAAGACCTCATGACATTTATGGTTTCGGAGTGGCGCCCAGAGTTACGTCTCCATGGAAGTCTTCTCGGATGACATTTTCGTCGACGCATGAACTGTTCGACCGGATCGAATGCCTCTGCCGCATGCAAGGACCATTGCCATTGGTGTCAGATCACAATGGCTGCACCACCCGACTGCTCGAATCGCTTACACCACTATGGCAATGCCACATCTATTTGTGTATAACACAGAATGTATGTCTTGAGAAGGAGAGTGGAGAAAGTCATCCAAGACAGGCGATAGAATGTCAGACTACTGGGTGTCCTGATCACTTACCCGCTTGTATACGAGAGTAGGCAGCGTTGACTATGATGGGCGTGTACAACAATCCTCCCTCCCCCCCACTGTCGGTCACCATGTTCCTTCAAGAAGAGCTCATTTTGTGAAGACGCTAAGACGGAACCATCATGTCGGACAACTTATCACAAGGCCAAGACTGTGTGTGGCTTGATTCTGGCTTTGTGTCAGAAGCTGCCCTTGCATACCCAACAGACCAGCCATACGCAAGCTGGCCATAGTGCAGACGCAGTCTGGTGTAAGCACACGCTCGGTGTCTCCTCGACGTCCCCAATTTGGCCCATAATCTCACCTTGGTCGTTCGCTTCGCCCCGCGAAAACGAACATGGTCGTGCCCTCCGCCCTTAGGGTATCACAATGGCCGCGTAACGCTTAGAACCAACAGCATATGTGGTTGGCCGACCTTCGGTCTGAGCACTACCAAGGGACGAGCTGTACTCTTGATATATAGGATGCCAAACTCGACTGCCTGCGGCAAACATGAAAGGTGCAGTCGACCAGCTGGATCTGACCATGGCCACCATCTGCCGGCAGCCTTCTCCCGCGTTGATCGCCCATGTGACATTGCCCCTGACAGCGAGGTGTTCAATTCAAGGAGGGAACGAGCAGACGGAACTTTGCATTCCAGAATCAGTCGATGATGCAAGCCCCGTCCTCTTGAGAGATGCCAGGACACGAGGCCGTCCAGCGTCGAGGGAAGAACACATCAAACCGGCCAGCAGCAGCAACAGTAAGCACCAAAATCTTGTTCTCTATTTTTCGTCCCAACACATGCTCTCCTGTTGTGCCCCCTCATATTAAGTACGCGAATAAAAAGCTCGGGTATTTCAGAAAAAAAAAAAAGGGTTGAGGGTCCAAAAAAAACCAAAGGGTCCAGGTGGGATAAAAGGAAAAGGGGACAAACAACTTCCGTCCGCGTCCACCGCCACAAAAGAGCGCCAAGTGTCTCCTTCTTGCCCGCCCTCACCCATTCTTGCACTATACAGACAGTAGCCAGCTGCAGAGACGCAGACGTGGGACAAACGCACGTCTCCCTGCTGCCAAAACTCCTCGCGCTGACCCTGAGTCTGGCACAAGTTGCTCCGCATCGTCGCAACAAGAAAATGCCCGACAGTAGATTGCACTTCCGTGTCGATTACGCTGTCGTCAAGTATGTTCGGTTCCGTCCGGTCGTGAGAGGATATAGCAGGTGTCGGGCATACTTTTGGTTGAAACAGACACAATCTCAGGCCGACATTGGCACTCTTCGTGCGACTCTGTTTTCGACAAGGTCTTATTTCTTCGCAGGCGTAGACGGGGCCTTGACATTGTTCGACAGCCACGCGAGGCCCTCGAGCAGACCCTCGCCGGTGGTGGCGCAGCTGGGCACGACGTACCAGACCTTGTCCTTGAGCTTGGAGAGCTGCAGCGCCTCGGTGACTTCTTGGGGTTTCATGGCTGCAGGGAAAAAAGGCGGTCAGCGGATGCCCGACACATGTCGTGTTCAACGTGGTAGAACAAAGGAAGACACAAACGTACCATCGTTGATATCCTGCTTGTTGGCAAACACGAGCAGAAGACTGTCCTTCATCTCGCGGTCGTTGATGATGCGGTGCAGCTCGGACCTGGCCTCCTCGATGCGCGCGCGGTCGGATGAGTCGATGACGAAGATCAGACCCTGGGTACCTGGGCAGTTTGTCAGTACAGATGTACGTTGTTGTTGGTCGCGGCTCTACCCTCAGCAGTCGCGCTGTAGGCCGCAGAGATGACTGAGGAGAAGAAACATCGGGTTGGGGTATCTAGGGAACGTACCGCTGAAATAGTGCCTCCACAGAGGCCGGATCTTGTCCTGGCCGCCGACGTCCCAGACGTTAAACTTGACGTTCTTGTAGGTGACGGTCTCGACGTTGAAGCCGACGGTGGGGATGGTGGTGACGTCCTGGCCGAGCTTGAGCTTGTAGAGGATGGTCGTCTTGCCGGCAGCGTCGAGACCGAGCATGAGGAGGCGCATCTCCTTGGATCCGAAGATCTTGCCCATCATCTTGGACAGTTGGCCGCCCATTGTGGGTGGTCTGGTTGGTGTTGGCGACTGGGCTCGATGAGTGTTTGTATGTCGGGGTCGGGCGATCGGTCGCGAGGGACGACGAGGGTTCTTTGAATAGGGCTGTCTTGGGCGAGCGTGAAGCTTTCGTCGGGGACCAGAGGGCCAGGAAGGGGAGGATACGGTCACGATCGATCGATAGGAGGCAGCTCCAATCAGACTTGGGACGAAAAGCGATGGCGGGTTAGGTTGCCGGTCGCGTAAAGCTGCTGCTTGAAGAGGAGAGGGGCGGAGGAGGAGAGGTGTAGGAGGAGGAGGAGGAGAGGGAAATGAGATTGATGGGGTGTGGGTGGAGGAGCGGACGATGGACAGCGCGGTGAATCCCAAGTTGTGGTGTGGGTGTTTCGAAACTTTGGCGATGGGACGGGACTTGGAACGTCTTTCTCTTCCCATCTGCTTCTGAGCACCCGAGTTGGGTTCGCGTCAGGGGTCTGCAGGGTCAAGCAAGGGGGCGTGGACATTTCCCGTCCTTGTGGCCCCCCCTCGCGCCCCCCCACCCCGTCTTTTCTGTTAGCGGGCGCAACTGCTGAAGAGGGCCCCATAGGGACCGTGGTGAGGGACTGTGGGCGCCTTTGCAGGTACCTAGGTAGGTACCTAGATACTGAAGTAGGTACCTAAGGCACACCTGTCAGGGGCCACGGCGAGGGCTGCGCGGGGTCTGTCTGCCTCCTTGGGCCAATGGGATACTTTAGCGGCAGAGACCACTGACCATCTGCAAGGTACGCGGGGCCCGTGCACAGCACTATCAACAGCGTTTCTCGGCGTCCTCCACAGATCTGGATCGACCTCCAGCCGAGCACACCGCTCTTACCCATTTCAGGGGGACATGGGCACTAGAGCATCAGACTCTGCTGCGAGACCACCATGCACAATCACACACATGCTGAACAAAACGCTGGTGGCATTCAATGAGTACCGTAGTGAACACGCCTACGACGCAGGGCAAGCTGCCGTCGTACGCCCGGCTGGCATCCAAAATAATCACACCTTGCTCACCCCGCTAGAATCCTCAACCGTGTAGTCCACGGTTCACCGTGGGCTCACCATGTAGCTCACCATGTAGCTCACCATGTAGCTCACCATGTAGCTCACCATGCAGCTCATCATGCAGCTCATCACACTCATGGCCGATACTCCAGCACGTAGCGCCTCTCGACCTGATGCGTCGTCGTCGAATCATTCTCCCCGTGAAACTTCAAATTCACCGTCACACCGTCCGGTTCCGTACTCTCGACATTGGCCGCGTAGAACGCCGTCGTTTGCGGGTACAGGGCGAGAACCATCTTCCGAGGCTCCAGCTTGGACAGACCTGGCGAGTTCTCCAGCGGGATGGGGATCATGTTGGACGCAAAAGTCTTAAACTCTTTGGGCCTTGGCCGGGTCCTCCGGCTCCACGTCCAGGCACTTGTACCGCCGGCTCTTGCCTTCGCCAATGACGCCGACAACTTCGCCGAGTATCCAGTCATACGGCGGATCTCCTTGTTGCGGCTCTTCCTTCTTGCGCTTGAACGCCACCTTGTCACCTTTGGAAAAGGTGATCTTGCCGCGGGGCCCGTTGCCAGCCGTCGTTGACCCCGGCAGCACCCCCGAAGATGAGCCGGCTGTGCCACTGCCCGTGGATCCCTGCGGCTCAACACTATCGGCTTTGGGAGGGATGCTGTCTCGATTGCTGTCCCGGTTGCTGTCTCTCGCGCTGTCTCGATTGCTCGACCGGTCCCCGTACTTTCGCCCACTGGAGATGGGGCTAGGGACCGGTGAGTCCCCCGCGCCGTCAAAGTCGTACAGGGAGGACGCCGCGGCGGCGGCGGCGGCGGCGCTCGCCGTCTCGCGGTTCCGCGACGAGCCGCCAGTGCGTGACGCCGTCGGCGCGGCCAGGGCCTCGGTAGCTTCCTTGTGGTTGGCCTGTTGGACTGCTTTGAGAAGCGTGAGCTGTTCAATGAGAGCGCGAATGGTGTTCGAATTGGTCTCCGACAGCCTCACACCGGACCGACAGAGTTGCTCCATTGTTGCGAGGTCTGCTCCGGTGGGACCGCCGCCATTCTTAGTAGCGGTTGCCGTCTTGGCGTCGAGCTTGAGCAGTTCGGCCAAGTTGTCATTCTCCGTGTTGACGCCGGTAACGACCTCGTGGATCTGCTGCTTGGCCATTTCCCAGAGCTGGACCTCCTCACCGTGGCCACCGCCATTGTTGCGATTCGAGCCGCGGCCGCTCCTGTGACGTTGTGACATGATGCCGGCGGCTGAAGGCAACGGCAACGTAGGTGCGATTCCGGGCGTGGACGAGGAACCTGAGCCGGCTACGCTCAAGGGTCTTGGAGGCAGTGATGAGTTTGCGCGCTTGGGCTGCTTCACTAGGGAGCCTCTTCGGCCAGCCTTTACCTTGGCTTTCGGCGGGTTTGCGCGTGGAGGCTTCTTAGGGTCAGTCATCGTACCGTGTGTGTGTGTGTGTGTGTGTGTGTGTGTGTGTGTATGTGCGCGTGTGTCTGTGTGAAAACGATGAGGGTGTAAATGTGATGGAAGGGTTGGTCTCTGGTAGTTTGTGATGACTTGTTGAGAGAAACACAAGAGGACATGAAAGATGCTGAGCGAGGGGTTGCAGAAGGACAACTCACGAGCAGGCCAAGGCCGAAGACAAGTCAAGAGAAGTCGTAGGGTTGAACGTCACCAGTGCTTTCCGGCTGGTATGATTGCTCGCTGGGCAAGTACGACTTTCCTTCCTGTGGCACCTGCAGATGCAGTGACGGTATGACAAGCGGGGTCTGGCTGTCCAACCACGTTTTGGCGATTCGCTTGTCAATGCCGGCCACTGAAAAAGACCTGATATGGCGGGGGCTGCTGTCTGACTGATAGATGCTCTGGAGATTCGAGGCGACCAGTTGCTCGTGATATTGTAGGGGGGGTGGGTATCAAGAAAGGATGAAGAGGGCGTTCCAGGAAATCATATTGTTCATATCCCGTGCGCTGTAGACGAATGCAGGAATGAAATTGTGCGCCGCCTCCAAAAACTTACACGACCACCGACGAAAAACCTTGAACGCAATCGCCCGGCCCTGATGTCTTGATGTCTTGATGCACCTCTACAGCCAAGATGGTCTCAGCTGGTGATCCCCCGGCGTCGATGACGGGACGTGCTGAGGTTGCGGATGAGGTTGAGGGTGAAAGTGGAGGACACGAGCCGCGCGCTTCAGTGGTCAATGGATCCGATCATGTTGGCTCCCCTAGACGCGTCAGAGAATGAGCGCATGGACCAAGTCACTCGCTGTCCTCTGGCGAGGTCTCCTCTGTCGAGGTCTCCTCACTGTATGAACCGCCACAGTGCGGCGGGCCATAGTCCGGCCCGAAGTTGGGTGACGGAAGCCTCAATTTCCTGGCAACTCGGGAAGCAAGCACAGTGGAAGGCGGGGCAGCAGCTCTCCAGGGTGACCCCTGCCTGACGTCAATCGCTCCTGCTGCCGCCCACCACGAGAGCTCACAGCGCGGCCGCGGGGTCTTGAGGTGCCTGTGTCCCGCCAAACCATCTTCAAAGACAGGAGCCTTGTCTCGTAATCGCCATTCCTCCATTTTCGAGGATTCAAAACTCGCGCATCGCAGCCACTTTATATACCTCATTTCTCGTCTCTCTCATTGCTGTTGCCCACTCGTTGCCCTTTCAATCTTGTTCCCACGCCCGCACAACATCCTCTGTCTATCCCCACCATGCTGCCGGTCCCTCTGATCCGCCTCCAGTGCGGCGTCAATTCGTACGAATGGGGCAAAACAGGTTCTGAATCGGCTGCTGCGCGCTTCGCTGCCACGACGCCCGCCGATGGCTTCGAAGTCAAGTCTGACCAGCCCTACGCTGAGGTTCGCGCCAGACTCCCTCCCACGCCCCCCTTGACCAGTGAGCAGCGATAGACGCTAACTTGTACGGCCAAACTCCAGCTTTGGATGGGCACACATCCCTCCAACCCTTCCAAAGACGTCAAGTCCGGTCGCTCGCTCGTTGATCTTTGTGCCGACAATGCCCAGCTTCTGTCGACGACCGTCTCTGCTAAGTACGGCAACAAGCTGCCCTTCCTCTTCAAAGTCTTATCGATCAACAAGGCCCTCTCGATCCAGGCCCACCCCAACAAGAAGTTGGCCGAACAACTGCACGCCCGCGACTCCAAGAACTACCCCGATGACAACCACAAGCCCGAGATGACCATCGCCATCACCCCCTTCGAGGGCCTCTGCGGCTTCAGACCACTCGCTGAGATAGTCCACTTCCTCGAGTCTGTGCCGCCGTTGAAAGCCATCGTCAAGAATCACAAGGCGGATGAGTTTATCGACACCGTCAAGGGCTCGGAAGAAGACAGCTCTCAGGAGGCCAAAGACCGCAACAAGACGGCTCTCCAACACATCTTCGCCTCCCTCATGTCCGCCACACCCGAGGAAATCAAGAAGGAAACGGCCAACCTTGTCTCCCTCGCCCGGTCCGAGGGATCTTCCTTTGCAGCTTCGGGTCTGCCCTCCACTCCTGGCTCCGTCCTCGCCGAACTCGTCACCCGTCTCAACAGCCAATTCCCGGATGATATTGGTCTCTTTGTCTTCTTCTTCTTGAACTACATCACCCTGTCCCCTGGCGAGGCCATGTTCCTCCAGGCCGACGACATTCATGCCTACCTTTCTGGCGACATCATCGAGTGCATGGCTGCCTCTGACAACGTTGTGCGCGCCGGCTTTACACCCAAGTTCAAGGATGTTTCGACCCTCGTGGACATGCTCACCTACAACTACGCCCCCATTGACGACCAGAAGATGGCCCCCCAAGACTACCCGTACGCCACGCTCAATCGCGCCGGCTACTCCTCAGGGTCCATCGTCGCCTTGTACGACCCGCCCATTGACGAATTCAGCGTCGTCCGCAGCGTTCTCAAGGGCGATGCCGCCAAGGCCACCTTTGAGCCTCTCGATGGGCCGAGCATCATCATCTGCACCTCTGGCCGCGGCACCATCGCCGTCGGCCCGACGGTTGAGAAGATCAGCGAGGGCCATGTCTACTTTGTGGGCTCCACCGCTGAACTCGTCCTGCAGTCCGAGGGTGGCGAGGACGATGAGTTTGTCACTTTCAAGGCGTTCTGCGAGGTGGACGAAAAGACGCCACAAAAGCTGTAAAAGAGGAGAAAAAAGAAGCAGGGGAGCGGAAGATACCACATGAATGATGAAAAGATTCGCGCATTTCGAGACGCTGACGAACTTGCTTGTTGGTGCTGTTGATTATGAATTTTGCGATACTGACTTGTGCTCCCTGTTGACAACAGGCTCGTCTACCTCTCAGCCCATTGCCTCGCACCTGGTGGTCGAACACCGCATGCTCACCCGGTTTGCCCTTCCGCCATCCTATATTCGCATAAAGAACCTAGAAGACCCCACCAGCGACATGATGTCTGTTCCGCAATTTTGTCTTTCCTTTGTTTGTTTTTTGGGTACCCGTCCTACCCCGTACAGTCGAGGTAAATAAGACGCCTTGTCCGTTCCGTTGTACATCCTAGGAAATCCAGTCCCATCCAGATTGCCAGCTTGCTTCGAAAAGTCACCCCATCACCGACACCCCGGTTCGCCATGGCGGAGAGCCACAGTAATTAGTAGGCCAAAACAAATGGGATGCTTGTTCCCCCACACAAGCGAACAGGACAACGCAGGCGAGATCAACAAATGCGCAAGACGAGAAGAATACGACTTTTCCCTTGCCCTGGGTCATCCCACCTCATGTGCTTCATTGCAAACAACAAGAGAAACGACGAAAACGCACACAGCAGATAGAGGAGAAAGACTGGGAAAGAGAAGGGAAAGCAGAGAGAAAGATGATTGCTGTAAACAGACAAGTCGCAGCGGCACACCCTTTCCGAGAACGAAGTCGAACTCGGTTGCCATGTCGAACACCAACAGGTCGTGAAAAGGACCAATGGGTTGACGGGATGAATAAGAATACGGCGTAGCGGGAGAAAAGGCGCGGCAGGAGGAGATCAGGCACCGACGACCGCTGACCGAGCCTGGCCTGGCTGACCTGGTGGTGGCGCGGGGAGGAGGAGGACGAAATGGGGGCCTCCTTCGGATGAGGGCCTTGTCCAGTCGCGGCCCGAGCCACGAGATGTACCGCGAGCCAAGCTGAGACGATCGAACCCGAGACTGGGTATTGGGCATCATGCGGGGGCCACGCCACCACATAGAAGTAAGTACCTGGCAAGCCTGGGTAGGTATGTGACAGTCAAGGGGGAGGTGGGAGGTCGGAAGTGTCACCCTTCGTCTCTCTCATGCCCCCCCACCCCCCCTTTCGTGGTTTTCTCGGGCGGGGGCATGGAAAGGGGGGTGGAAGAGGGAAGTCGTCGGCTCCAGAGAGGGAGCCATCGGGGCCGTGGCACCCACGCACGCAGGTAAGAGGACCTGAAAGAGGCTGCTGCTGGGCCGTTGAGCCACGTGTACAGGCACCACTGTATCCAGCCGGGCCTCGCCCGCGGTCGAGAACGGATGATGACTGCCGGCTGACTGACAGCTCACCAAACCTTACATCCTGCCCCTTGCAGCCGTGACGCTCTGCGTGTATATACGCCACATCGCGTTGGGAAGGGCATCGAGTGTGGTAGTGGCGCCCGTCTAGTCTGACAGGCCCGAGAAAAAATGGTCCAGGTGGCTAAGTGGCAGGAGGGCGCTTGTAACCGTGTAGGCTGCAGTTGGGAAGGACAAGGCTCTCGATATCTCGTGTTTGAAGTTGACGAGGTGAATGGAAATAAGATAGTGGCGGTTGAGGCGCTAGGGGTACTGGAGGAGAGGTAAAGAGGCGAGGAAACCAGGGTGGTGTTTGATCCGTTACCCAGATGCTGGAGAGCTCGAGTCCGTGAGCTGCCCTGCGCCTCTCTTCAAACCCAAAGCAGGGCAAGCAAAGCACCATAGCGGATGGGAGTAGACAGGATGAGCCGCCACCGCCACCAGATGTGCATGCATCCCATGACACCCACAGTACAAGCGGAAAAGACCCGAGGGGAAACCAAGACAGGGCGACAGGAGAAGGAAGAGGGGGGAGGCATCAACATGGGCAGAGGGCTCCAACACACCATAGCAGCAGCCGAAGATGATCGTTCTCGTCGTCATTCACGCACTGCAGGGGGCGATGCAGACCCCGCAGCCGCACGACAGATGAATCCTATCGTCACCTCACGTCAAACCCCTCCTCCAGTCGTGTATCCTCTTCTCGTACCTGTGGATGTGCATGTGGCTGTGACGGAATTCTCCAGTCAGGGCTGGAAGGTTGCTGCTGAGGGAGGGGGCGTGGGGGGGGGAAAGGGGTGGACAGGGGACGGGGGACGGGGGGGTGGAAGGGGTGTGATAGGCATGAGAGAAGATCAAATGAAGAGTGACATGTAAATGAAAAGAAGAGAAAGAGAAGAGGCGAAATGCAGGGGAGCGGCCTAGGGCCCGGAAGGCTCCAAAAGAAACCGGGGCTTTTACGTCGGCCTTTCCCAGTGCCCTCGGCCCCTCCCAAGTTTCCCCCCCCCCCTTCTGCAGGAGTTCCCCAAATTTTTTTCCCAGGTCCCCCGGGGGTCCCAGGGTCCTGGAGGCCCGGGCCCCAGGATAACCTCGGCCCAAAAGGCCGAAAGGGTGTCCGGATTGGCTTTGGGGGCCCAACGGTGGGGGGGGCTGGGCGGCGGGGGCTGTTCCGGTTCCCTTTTCCGCCTGCCCTTGGAAAAAAACCGCCTTCCCCCCGTTCCCGGCCAAAGGTGGTCCCCTAATTAATAGAGGGGAATCCTTTCCAGAACCTGGGGGCCCGCAGCTCCGAATTTGAAGAAAGATGGACGAAGGAGGTTGAGTAGCCGTCCGTACCGCAGCACATGGACATGGACATGCGATTGCTGGCGCTGCTTGTGCTGCTGGCGCTGCCGCTGGCCGAGGGGGGCCCGGATGAGGCCTGATATGCTGGCGCTGGCGAGCTCTCGCAGCTGAGGTAACCCCCCGAGTCCTCAGAAAGACTGACGACAGGAGAAGAAAGCGTTGCCGTCCCGTTCTGCGCCTTATAGCTGTAAGGTGATGTCTCATCCGCGCGGTAGATCGACGCACCAGAGCTGGCCAGGGTTCTGTTGACCGGCGTGGGAAGTAACCTACTGTCGTTCGAACTCGGCAACGATGCCGCCACACTGCTGAGGGAAAAGTTGGGCGAGTCGCCGCTGGCTACAGGACGCTGCCCGTAATTGTAGTTGGCGCCGACATCTCCGTATAACAAGCTGCTTGGCTCGGTTCGTTCTGTGACCGAGGCCATCCTGTACAGGTACGCTGGGTCCTGGCTGTAGTAAGAGGGGTGGTAGCCCATGTTCGAGAAGTCGGCAGTTTCATCACAGTATGCCGACGTCCAGCTTGGAATGCCCTGGTATCGCGCCGTAGAGTTGTAGCTGGCTGACGGCGAAGGAAACCGGCTGAGACCATCCTGCAAATCGGGAGGGTACTGTGCCGGGAAGGCTGACGGAATGATCCCTCGAACTTGGTAGGCCCTGGCCGTATCTATATCATACGCGAACCCTCGATCGGTCTGGATGATTGTCGTCTCTTGTGAGGCAACCTGCCGTGGTATTCAGTTGACATGGACATTCTCAATTCTCACTATGCACGGCCAGGGGTCGGGATGTGGCATGAGCTCTGTTTCTTACCCTCAAAAATTGACACGGCTCGGCACCGGCATTTTTGCAATTGTGACATGGTAAGCCGTCGCCCGGATCGCCGCTGCATCGGATCTTTCGCTTCCTGCACCGCGTGCACTACGAGGCGACAAGGAGACATGTCAGTTCGACGTGACTGTGGACGAAGGGAACGTGCTCGAGTCGGCTCCCGACGTGACAGGACCGGAAACATACAGCAACAGCAATGCGCTTACGTGGCGGCGTCGTGTCCGAGTCTGCCTCTCGCTCGTTCATTGTGTCGAGAGGCGGCGGCCGGACGTTTGACGCGAGGGTGGGTAGGGGATATCGCTGGACGCGCTCAAGGAAGGACCCGGGGAACGGCGGGCCGGTACGGTTATATCTTCTTCCTTGGTTTGGGTAACAGACTGGCGTGACCATGATCTTTGTTGTAGTGTCCAGCTCGGGGTCGTGGATGTATGTGTGTGTGTGTGTTGCAGTAAGCGAGAGAGGGCTGTGCGATCCTAGCGATGGCGTTGACAACCTGTCGTGCCAACAGCTCGTTTCATCAGCAGAAGGCGCCAGCCGTCGACGTCGTCCTTGGGTCCAGGTTCAGGTTCGGCGTCGGAGCTCGAACTCGACCTGCGGCTGGAGGTCTAAGGCGCTGGGGCCGTGGGGAAGGACGTTCTGTCCGGAACGTCGGTCTCTCGTTGAAAGGAGAAGGGGACGATCCGCCTTTTCTTGTCAGACTATGCTGTTTGAAAGATGGGTCAGAAACTTGCCAGCTTGTGCTCGTCTGGAGCTCCCAAACACTTGTCCTCTTGTTCACCGTCTCACAGCTAGAGTGAAGTGTAGTAGAAAAGGGGGAGGGGCAAAGCGTGATGAACTTGGTGACCCCGAAGAGGGCCATCTCGACAAAGCTGCTGCAGCTCGGCGTGTTATAGTCAGTAGGTACCACCCGAGTTCGATTGTGTATGTGTTCGTAGAGAGCATATTGTGTTGGGGCAAGTCATCACTCTGTTTTTGTTCTATTCGTGAAGGGACACCTTTAATTGACCAATGTCGGCTCGTGCACATTCTCTCCGTCTCCATTTCTCCCTTTATTTCACGAGTGTTAGCCACACAGACATCTGCAGAAGTATGGGTACTAGCAGTGCTTCTAGATGACAGGCTCCATGTGAGTACAGCCAAGGCGGATTGCTGCATAGACCCGCAGAGGCTCTCTTCGTCCCTCCACACACTCGTCAACACCCTCGCATGGCAGTAGGGGATACCTTGTCCCGTTCGAGACGTTGGAAGGATTTTGCCATTCTGTCCGCGTGGCCGATGTGGGAGAGATCAGTTCGCAAACAGCCCGACAGGTGGATTCTGTGATAGTCCGGATCGCTTGGAGCCCAGACGTGATATCGAGATGTTCCACCTACGTAGCTCAAACCCCCCCCCCCCCCAAAAAGAGACGTCTTTAGCCAACAGCCTGGTAATTAGACGACGTATTGTAAAGATTTCGATGAGTACTGAGACTATTTGAGACCATCATGCTCAGCTGTCGAACCTGAGCATCCAATAAAAAGACCTTGACAGTCAGCTCAAGGATCTGCGACACACCATGGCTGCCAGATCCCCTGAACCGGGGGGAGGGAATATGGGTGGGAATCGGAAAGCCAGACTTCAAGGCGCGCGTGCTGCAATGCAGATCAAGCGCGCGCTCGTCCATGCCTGCGGCTCAGGTCCCGATGCCGAACTGATTCGCCACGTCGTATTGAAAGGGGTAGTTGTTTGGGCTACCTGCCTGCTGTGAGGGCGGCAAGAGGCTGCAGAATTATGCGTTGGCTCAAGAGGACAACCTATTTGTCTCGTGCCAGCGCAATTACACCAAAGGCTCTCCTCAAGCGTTGGCCAGACGTGGCGGCTTTCATGTTTGGTCTTATCGTGCCGCGCAGTGTTCTGCCATCAACGTCCGCAAGAGAAGGCAGAAAGACAAGTAAGAAAACAAAACTTGGATGTGGTGTCGATCAAGGCTGCCCTTTCTGGATGAAAGGAACCTCGCGTGCTACTGGAGCTGGAGACGGCAAACCGCGAGCTGTATGACCAGTCATCTCACAATACAGGTCTGTCTGCTGAGGAATGTGATGAGAAGTCTCCTCCCCCGCACCGCACCGGCCTGTTCCTCGGTGATGCTCCATCGTGCTCGGTTACTTGGTACTATTTCATATGAGATATGAAAGGTTGTGCGTGACGCACGTATACCGTGGTCAATGTGCTCCTTGGAATTAGTTCTCCTGCTGAGACGCCACGGTGCGACCTATAGCTGTCTCGTCCTCCATTCAGAGAGAGTGCTGTGCTTTCGGGCGTGGTAGCTTGGGGAGGAAACCGAAGTCAGCAGCAACAATGAGGAGGGATCAAACAAGTCAATCTTGAAGGCAGTGGAAACGCACGCCGCAGGCCCGATTGGAATTGGTTGCTATGCTGCTCTGCTTCATAGCATGAGCAATCCGTCGGAAGGCGCTGGTATAAGGGATGGCCAATTCCCTTGACAACTACACGGTTTGCGTACCAAATGGCCTTGGTAGTAGTGAAACATCCGACAGACTGTTGTCCTTGCCCCCCAGCACCAAGCAGTTGACAGAAACTGACAGGGCACACAGTGAGGCACGCATGTGCGTGTATGTACGTAGATCCACAAGAGAAGATTGTGCTCCGGAGACAGACGGCCGCCAGCTCATCGTGACGCACCAAAACAGGAATGCGATGGGGTAGCGGTCGCCGTCGAGCAAACCTGTGACAGCATGGCCCTTCCCGCGTAGCCCTATGCTTGCCCATTGCCGATAGTCGGCTGGACATGTTTGTCGTATTCAAGACTCAAGCTGCCCGGTCTCGGCAACAACGGTCATTGGGCCACAAGAATGAATGGTGTCTGCAGCCCGACGCACCAATATCTCCCTGAGCTTGCAAAAGCGAGATTCAGTGTTTGGTGACCCAACCCAATCATACATGATTTGGTAGTTGGGGAAGAAAGAAAGTTGGTGGGTGTGCTGTGCCTTGCTCTGCTCGCGCCCAGCAATGGTCGCGTTGTGGACATGTACCCCCGCCATGGGCTATGCTCCTAGGCCCCAGCACCAATTCTACGCTCCATGTTTCATCGGGATATCGTATTTGGCGAAATGTCAATATGCGGGCAGACTGGGCTGTATGCCCGTCGCAAAGAATCCGCGGAGGTCACCCGCCTGAGTGCGTGCATATGCAATCACGCACACCACTGTGATGAAATTAGGCTGAGAGGAGAAGAGGAAAGTAAGGTGAGCAGTCTGCTTTGTGAGGAGGCCAGTCACAGGGTGTCATGTTCGCAAACTACAGGGAGATGCAGCCATCTCGAGGGATCTGATAGGCCGATCTGTATCGATGTCCAACCCCCCTCAATCGACGGAAGCCCTTTGTAGGATCGGTCGGCAGAGCCTTCTTGGTGTGTGTTGTGCCTTCGCCCACCACTGCATTGTCGTTGGCGGACTGCGCACGGCGTCGTCCAGTCTAGCCCTGGCCGCCAGCAGCGGAGGTTTGAATGCATATACCCATCGTGGCGCCCGCCAGATTTGCCCGAGGGAGGAGACTGGGGGACTCCGACTCCGAGAACCAGGTCGAGATGACCGGGTAGTCGTTTGGCGATGCATGTCTCCAGCCGCTGCGTGGGTTCGGGTCCCGCTGCGATTGATCCTGGCATCGACCGCGACAATCATCGACCGCAGTTTCGACCCATGCACCCATCCCGTTGAAGGCCCTGGTCCTTGTTCTTCCCGGCGCTCGTCATGGCGTAGCCTTGTGGCGACTAAACGCAGGCGGCTTTTCACTCGCCCTGCGTAACCCCCGACGGCGGGTGCCAGGGCTGCGACGAATGTCGTGCTGGCGGAGCGATAGCAACGAACGTCCTCCACGTGCGCGCGTGTCCGACAGAGTTTCTGCGGATCGTTTGATGCTGGACAACATGTCTGGTTGGCACCGTACGACAGCTAAGACATCTGGCCATGTTTCTCTCCCAGACCTTGTTCCCCTCACCTTGTCTGCACGTCTTAGAACCGGAGGTTTCATCGTCCAACTTGCATTCCCTCACAGCCACAGATCATCCAGATCAGAAAACGCAACCGACAGGGGCAATTCGTATCGAGGAGCCGAAAGCACGTCGCAAGGGCGTGCAACAGTAGCGCCCCGTGAGCAGGGTTCTTCGACAGACGCCCATCTCTGTCCATTGGTAGCTGAACAGCTGGTCTCGTCACGAACAAGAGGTCTGGGCTGTGATGTGCCTCACATCACGTCACTGCCAGGCGCCGCCCGTACACATTGCCGCTTGAGCCCTACCCTGCCCCGAGGGCGGGAAAAGGCGGGTGCGGAAGATTCTTCCTACCTCCCTGCGGCTCAGTGCATCTCCCCGCTGTCAGCATCGACCGGCCAAAGTCTTAATCTGCAGGGAACCGGAACGTGCCCTGGCTGGTCGTCTGAGCGCGACTTGACCACGTCGGCCCTCACAGGATGAGGACCGCCATACACATGCTGCGTGCACCTGTCGAAGATGTTGTTGCAGGGGGCAGTAGGGAGAGGTCCACTCCGTGCCTTGATGCGGCATTGCAACGCTGTAGGTCATCACCGCAGCATCTTCATGGTCGTGCAGTGACGACAGTGGAGCTGCCTGTGATGCTCGATGCATGTGTGCCCGTGCTCCTATATGACGGCGCAAACGAAGTGTTGTGTTAGACACGATGGATGGGGCGCGAGTGCGAGCGTTACGCAACTCGTCGCGAGCCAGCTCTTTGGTCCTGGAGATCATCTAGATCGGTATCGCTTATTCGGAATGCCGGCTTAGGGCCACGGAACGAAGCTAGACCAGACCAACAGGTAACACACATGATGGCCTTTGTCCTGCTTCCAGGGTCTTGGCGGGAGCGAGTGGAATAGTTCAGGTAGTACGAAGACCATAGTTCGTGCGCCGACTCCGATTCCACAATATCTCGAGGGAATAGCAGGCCTATCGACGGAGCGCCTGTGTCACGGCAGGTCACGCATTCGGCCTGTTGATTCTGGTCTCAAGCCGAATAATACATGCTACAGGATGAGTAGCATTCAGTCTTTGGAACGCGGCGGAGCGGCGTAGCTAGAGACATGAAGCTTTTGCCGTGGAGATTTGACTCTCAGGAGCTAGATGCGATATTGCGCTTCAGTCCATCTTGGCCCAAGGCTGCTTCAAGAACACCACGAGCCAACTCTCTGACCTAGGGGTGCATTCGGGTTGCTGCATCGACAGGTCATGGGATGAGGGGATAAGGGCCCGGAGAAGACAATGTTCTCGAACAGAGATGCGTCACGTCGAGTATTATCAGGCCTGATGAACCGCGAACCTAACAAAATCGAAGTGGATAGCGATCGAAATGACGAGACCCGGCCACTAACTCTCAGACAAACATGGCGCGGATAGTCGAATTGGGGTGCATTTCATCGACAGCCGGATGAGTTATCCGGACGCTTGACTGCAGGAGGCAAGGAATGTATCCGCCTAGGCCTTTCCTCTTCCCGTTTTATCTTCGACCCTGTGATCTTGGCAGATGGGAGACAGCCTGCCACACTGCACAGCCTTAGCCATTGCTTTTGGTGAATATCAGTTGAGTACGGGGGGATCCGGGGGAGGTGCAAGCGCTCATGATCGTCGCCCACCGACGCCAGGCTCGGGCGGGCTGTAGTCAAAATCCACATGGACCCGGATCGACATTGTGGGGAGGGACGTGAGTCGGGGATAGAAAGCGAGCTTCGAGGCGTGTCGGTGTCCGCTGCAAGTAGGTAGTCAAGATGAGTATGGATAGGGACAAGGAGACATTGATTCCTATCTCCGCCTAGTCCTCCCGTGGTCCTGGTATCGGTCTCGATCTCTGTCATTGTCCTGGCCATCGCGTCGTCTATCGTACCGGTCATCCTTGCGCCGGGTATCGCGATAGCCAGATCTGTTACGATCTCGATCATCGTACCGTCGATCTTCGCGTCTTCTATCGTCGCGTCTTTGATCGTCGCGTCTCCGCGGGCTGCGGCTTCGGTTCAAAGGCCGGGATCCTTCACCATGTTGTCGGTCCTCTCGTCGATCGTCGCGCCGGTCATCACGTCCACTCTCGGCCGACGGAGCTTCTCCCTGTCCCCCTTGCCCTCGCTCGTGACGACCCTTCATCTCCTCGTCACCGTACACGAGGTTGTAATTGTCGCCGTGACGGGCATCGTCTTGATCACGGTACTGCCTCCTCTTCTCAAGCTCGTCGATGCCTCCCCAGCCTCCGCGAGATGCGTTCTTCTTGCGTTTCTTGTTGGTGTCGTTCCTCCACACATCGCTGAGCTTGCTCACGCTCTGCGAGAAATCCACGTGAATCCTTCGGTCGTCAATGAGGACGTCCTGCATCTTGAAGTAGGCAGCCTCGCACGACGCCTTGTCACCGTACTCGATGAAAGCGTACTGCAGGCTGTCGCCCGTCTTCTTGTCGCGAATGACCTCGCAGCTGAGAATGGTACCGAACCGCCCAAAGATGAGCTCGAGGTCGCCGTCCGTCGTGACGGGGTTGAGCTTGCAGACGAAGAGGATATTCTCGGGCGGCGCGACCTCGGCGAACGGCAGGTCGCCCATCATCTCGAGCGTCAGGGCCTGGGCGCGCGCCTCCCTGTCGCGGCGGCGCTTCTCAATGGCGTCCTCGCCGAGGGCGTCGTCCTCGTGCAGCGCCGCCTCGTCGGCGATGCGCACCGTCGCGAGCTGCGCCTTGGTGGGCGGCGGCGAGATGCTGGGCTCGCGCAGGCCCGGCGGGTCTGGGTACGGGTCGTCGAGGATGACTGTGTGCTTGATGCGGATGTCGATGAGCGGGTGGCCCTTGTCGTCGACGATGGCCTCATTGATCTTCTCCAGGACGTCGAACCCCTCGACGACCTTGCCGAAGATGGCCGCCTTGCCGTCGAGAAAGTCCGTCTCCTCGCCCAGCGTGACGATGAATTGCGAGGCCGCGAACCTTGTCTCGGGATCGGAATCGGATGGCGCCGTGGCCATACTGACGGTACCGCGTTCAAGATGCTTCAGCTTCGGATGGAATAACGCCGGGAATGTCTTCTGTTTGCTGTCGCCCGACAAGAGCCCCCAGATGGATGTGCCGCCATCGGACTCTTTCGACGTGGGACCCAATGGGTCACCGGTCTGGAAAGAGAAGGATTTTTGAATTGAGTGTATCGGAGAGAAGTTGTAGTACTTGGCTTTGCAGAGCTTCAAAAAGCTGCGTGGGAGCTGGTTAGCTGAGCATGAGCTGTCCGGGGCGGCGTGTTGGACGACTTACTTTTCGCAGAGCTTTGGTGCATAGTCAACCAGCAGGTCAATGACAATGTCCCCAGAGCTGGTCTCAAGGAGCACCGACATGGTGAGCTGCTGTCCTTGGATGTCTCTTTGTGCGTGGGGGATCCCAATGTATTGAAGATTAATGGATGGATAAGTGTGTTGCGACGGAAAGGCTCACGGCATGCCCAAGTTGTTCACCCAGCGTTCTAGAAGACTAGAGGCGCATGGGTTGAAGCTTCCTCCCAAGTCAAAGGATATGCTTAGTCATGCACTGTGACGTATGGCCAGTCAAGGCATGTCACTCGGAGAAATTGTGTGGGTCCGCAATCTATTTCACAGGAACCATATAATTTGACAGCCGGTACACAGCGACGATCAGTCTGAAGCTCGACAAGATCCCATGACCAGGTCACTAATAACCCCCGAATAGAGGTGATTTGAAGTTTTGTGCTAGTACTATGATAAAGGTCCTTGCAATCAAGGACACGAGAAGACAAAATCGACGGCTGTTGCGTCAGGGTATCATACATCGACCACGCCGGATCATGCATTCAAGCCATCCTGGCTCTATTCCTTTTGTTTCCTTTCCGAAGTGGTGTCCTCACAACGAATCCTGAACTCCGAAATGCCAATATCCTGGTGAGGATCCCACGCTGTATGAAAATGAAGATGCGTCTCCATGGCGGTAGTGAGCGCGAAAGTCAACGCGTGCCGCGCTATGGCGCGCTCTTCCTACGTCTCTCAGAGCGAAGCTCCTTCTCCGTGTCCATCAACCGGCATTGAACCCAGGTTCGGAAGGCGCCGTCGGCTTTGGCTTCATGACCGTTGAGCAACTCTGTGAGGGCACGCTTCATGCCCTCATTGACATCGAAGAGACGGCGCTCCTCCTCGGCGACTTGGTACAGGATTGATTCGTCGGCCAGGGGCTGCAGCGAGGTGCTGCTCCGGCGCGTTCGGGGAGGACCGGCAAGCGAAGATCGACGACTGTGACGCCTGCTAGAAGGATACTGGCCGAAAGGCGTACAGGAGCTACGGGTGGGCGATACAGCCGGCGACGATGTCAGCGAGGTGGTACTCGTCGAGAACATGGCTGTTGTTCGGATGATGTCCAAGTTTTGGCGGAGTTCTTCGTGTTGGTTGTGGAGGTCGAGATAGCGCTGCATGGCGAAGCTGGGAGCCGATGCGTCCATGATAGGCTCGTAGGGGTTTGAGGTGACTGGCGACGTGCCTTGGGCGTTGATGCGAAGGGTGAATGATGGATGTCGTTGGACTAATGACGAGCCCATTGAAAGCCCGTGTCGTGGTTACGGGTTGCTTTGTTTACTTATGACGTGCGGGAAGGGCAAGTGAAAACTTCGCAGGGCGTCGTCAGGGTCCACGTCGTGCGTCTCGTGAGTTCAGACTAGTCAAGTCTTTTGCCGAGAGAGGAATGTTTGGGCCACTGGTGATGCGCGTGGTTGAGGAAAGTGGGGGTACCGGGGTTTGTCAGGGAGATGTCGACTGGTGTTGAGACAGTCTGGCAGTGGATGGGGACGGGAAGATATATAAGTCAAAGAGGTTTCGGGCTTCGTCCTTGAGGCGAAAGAGGGTACCGAGGCGAAGGGTCGTAATGGGAGGTAGGCAGACGGAGCAGCGATAGCTCCTGTCAGCTTGAGCTCTAGGTGTGTCGATTTACGTGATGGAGGGTGGTGGCGGTGCGCTGTTCCCGCAGTCTCGGTCGTAGGCACACCTGGTGGTGTCGAGATGATTGTGATCCGGTGGGAGATGCAGGCAGGGTCAGGTTAAGACGCATGCATGAAGATCCAGTCTGGGAAGCCTTGGTATTGCAGAGACTGGCGTTGGTGGTTGCAGGATGGTGGTGGCAGGTTGGTGCAGGTTGATTGGTACGTGATTCTGATCGAGCGTGCGGCAGGTATGGGGGGTGTCAGGACGACCAGGCCTTGCGCGACAGCTGTGCGTTGCAATGGGGTGGAGAGGCAGTGGTTGGGGACGTTGGACGATTCCGGAGGGTCAAACAAATAAAAATAAAAAAGACACGGCACACAGAGTATATGAGTGGGAAATGGATCCTCGTGTCGTGTCGAACCGAAGTGTTCCTCTTCCAAGGTTTGGGATCAACCGTGCCGTTCAAGAAGATCCGTTCGATCAACTAGCGGAATGATGGCGCAATGTGCTGGGGCGTGATGATATCAAGATGGGCGAACAGAATGGGTCTCAATGTCGCATCGACCTCGTTCTCGACGTTCTGGCCAGGTCGGAGCGAGGGGGTAGGGGGGCAGCCAAGGGGGTCCGCCGATGTTGGAGATGGGTCGGATTGGATGGATACGAAAGGTATGGGGGGGACAATCAGGAGGAAGAGGGGAGGGGCTGCCGGACGTAGCTCCTGTGCCGCCCGGTAACCGCCTTCCCAGTTGATTTTAGTCGTTTGGCGTGGTGCAATTCGTCCAGCAATATGCGCTATCAAATCAAACTTAGTGCCCAGTCTGCGAGCCAGCCCAGCCAACACCAGTACGGTACAGATCCGGTACCCTCCTTGATGTACTTGGATATGTACAGTACAGAGAGGAATCAATTTGTGCTATCGACGGCGGCTCCCGATGGTATTCGTGCCGGCCGAGACAAGGATAGCACAACGAGAGGAGGGTGGCGATCGTAGTTGACGATAAGGCGTCAGCAGTGGATGGTTCCGGGCAAGCGCTAGTGGCAGCCTGTGGCGCTGATGGTCGTAGTCGTGGTGCTCGTCACCGCCGTGTGGCGATGGTCTTCTTATCGACGTCGAGCGTGCGTCCTGGGCGCCGTCAGGGGAGGCACCAGCAGCGGCCGCCTGGGTGCTCTGGATGGGGGCAGACGCAGGCACTGAGGATGCCCACGCTACGTCGCAGTGGTACATTGAACTTCTTTGATCGTTTCGTGAATGGGTCGCCAGGTTTGAAATGATGAATGGCAGGTCTGAAATTTTACGGAGATTATCTTCACCCAGGACACTCACCACCAAAGGCTGCCGGCGATTCTATTTAATTACCTCCTGTCCTTGTCGTCAATTTCCCAGAGGATGTGACGTACCATTGAAACAGCCTGCCTAAAGCCTGCCTTCCCCCTGCCAGCCGCCGTCTGTCAAGCCGCCCTGGCGCACTTGAACCCCTGTGGACCGGGGCGCTGGGCTGAGCCTCTGGGTCTCAAGCTTTCGCCCACGTTGTTTTTCCTTTTCGCAAATTCGTCACTGGCAAACCTAGAGTAGCCTCCACGTCCCCTGATCAGAGACACCCACAAATGCTTCTGGGAGCCAAGCCGGGGCGACGTCAACTGTGCGCTTGTGTACTGATGGGAACCCTGCCCGGCTTCGCTAGCAATGCTGCTTGTGATTGTGCCATTGATTGTGCGTAGTCAACGTAGTCACCTTATTACATGTAGGTGTCTAGGCGGAGACGAGGTTCCTCGGATCGTGTGATGGCACTTCTGGCACCCTTCACTCGTGATCCAAAAATCCACACCCCTTCAGCAATCCTGACATGGCTGCTGTGTTGGCAAGTCGACGTGATCGAACAATCGACGGTTCTGCCCCATTTGATGATCGCCCACGGCGCATGTGCCTACCGTCCATCCACGCAGTCGTCGGACGTACTCGGTAGACGTCTTGTTCTGTGTCGTACCTTGCAGGATCGTGGGCGATCACACGAGGGGGAGCAACAGGTGCAGCGGCCGCAGCGATGACTTCATTCCTCGTGCCGACCTCCCATTCGGCACTCTATCCGGAGGGCACCACCCGTTGCGCTGTGCATCCCAACCCTTAAAGTGTTTGACGTGTTCGGCCTGTCTTTCGAATTGGTCGACATTGGCATGCGTGGGAGTGCACCCTCCAAGCTTCCTTCAGACCCTGGAACATTACGACACCACAGGAACAACCTATCTCTCACCTCGCACCTCTTTGGAGGAATCCTACCCGGCGACCAGTAAACAATTGTCTCCTTGACCTGGCGTGGACTCCGGTGAGAAAAGGAGCTCCCTTGTCCTGGCTTACCCCAGGCTTCTATTCGGAAAAGAACCTCCGGCCAATGATCGGTTTGGATCGAGAGCTTCTGGAACACTGCGACGTCCCATGTACACTTTTGCTCTCTGAGAGCTCGTCATGAGCCACATCAGAATGCATCAGAATGCAAGGATGGGAAAGCACACGCCACACCCTTTGACACATCCATCTCCATCTGGGGAATGAGCCACGCTTCTGCCACAGTCCTCGTCGCCGAGAGCGTTGCCCGTCTTTGACTTGCCACCACATCAACACCACCATGACATCTCCTAGTTTCGTGACAGATGTAAAACTACTACCGTCTTTGTCCGAATCCTCCCTGAAACCCCTGAAAACCCCCTTGCGACGGACCCTTTCCTCCGTCAACTGCTGCGTGTGTGTGGCTTGTCTGACGTAGCACCTCGAATGATGTCTGCCCCTCCTACAACTTTGATGGCCGCTGGCATTCTTGACCTCGCCAGTCCTGCCTGCTCTAGCAACCCCAGTAGCCGCACACCCACACACCAAAGTGCCAGCAAACGCGAGCTGCGAAACCCATCCGACCAGATCCATGCGCTCGACCCTCACAGCGACAGAGTTATCTCACCAGTTCCCACCAGTTGATCACCTGTACACAGTGTCATTCGTCGGACGAGGCCAGTTGTATCCTGCCACCCCTTCTCCGGCAAAAAGCCCTTACGCAAGTCGTCGCCCGCCCCCGCCGCCGCGGGGAGGTTCCGTAGGTGCCGGCGGATCAGGCAGCGCCCATCCCCAGATACGCCAGCCAGCCCTCAGTGCGACTCCCCGTGGGCAATTGACTTTGGGTCATTGCAGCATCTTTCCAGGTTGGAACCAGCGATTGGGCTCGATGCAAACCTTGATGTGGGAGATCGCCATGGGCGCTTGCCTCGAAGCGGCAGCCACGTAGCTGACTCTCTTGTACATCCCAAGTCTCCAGAGGTGCACCCTTTCGTTCTCGCGGCTAAGCTATCTTGATTGAACCACCAGCCCCCGAGTGGTATGGATCTTGGATCACTTGGCTGTCGAGGTTGCTATCACGCGACTGGTTTGTGCTCACCCAGAGGATGGTCTCGGACAGGCTTCTTTGCAAAATGTACCCTTCGGACCGATCGAGGTGAGAGGTTGCTTTGCATGAAAATGGAGAGTCCGGGGAGTTTCACCGGGGCGTAATACGTTTCTTCCGTTTGCGACCTCAGAGACAAATCCCTTACATCGGACGGACCTCCCATTGGCAGCCCCCCAGACAAGAAAGGCTGCACCACTCAGTAATGCATGGGCATCAGTCATGGCAACACCAACAGCGTATCAAGAGTTTCCATCAGTCAAACTGGAGCGCTGACAACGTAACTGAACCGACGCTTGATGCCTCTGCAGCCGCAAAGCCATGACCTATGACACCGCGCGGCCTCCCCCATCAGTGGTATGATGGTCGCGCCGGGCGAGGTGCTAAGACGACCCGAGCTTGTAAACTCTTGAATGCTACGTAATTGAGACGGGACCAGCGGTCTTACGTTGATGGACTGATGATCGACACCTTGGCAGAGAGGCATCCTACTCTATCCCCACATCAGCTGTAGGACCCTTACACGTCCACCTGGATGGGGCAGACTTTCGGCCGAGCTGATTTTGAAGGGACCGCCTGCCCTGAAGGCCAGGCCTGGAGTGGGCGCTCGCCATAAGACTTGTGTGTGGCGTAGGAGGCCATGGGCGGCGGATAAGATCCGGAGCGTCTTGTTGGGTCACCTTAAGTGTCCGGATATGCGGCTGATAGGGACAACCCACCCAACCATCGGCGCTGTCTGCATCTTATCTGATGATGACAGTCGACTTGAGCTGGCGCGAGCGTGATGAAGGGTTTGCCAAGTTTAGCGTTTCAGTGAAGTTCAATGAACTTGCAGATTCCGGTCTTGCGACTTGGCTAACTTGTCATTCCCGTCTGTAGGTCCAGGCCATCCGAGACAAGGGGTGGTGTTGCCAACGTCAAATGGAGAGACTACAACGATACTTCAAAAGGTAGTCTCCCGAGGTATACTCCTCGTGGGTTCAACATGGTCCGTGGTGCGCATCAGATGGCAAGTTGGCAAATGGCTGAAGCGAACATGACATAAGGGTGACGAACTATAGATTAATCGTTGCAAATAGCTCTTAAAGTAATGGCATATGGCGAATTACTAAAAACAAGTTATCTGTAAGTATGCCGAGGTAGGAGCAAACGTTCCCACCATTGGCCTTGCGTCTCTTTCAAGGCTCTGTCCGTCTCAGAGAGGGGACTGGGAACTGGTGCATTTGAGTAGTGATATTGACGCTTGCTGTAAAATCGCCTGGTATTGTCATGATTTTCGTATCCTACAAATTCGAATAGGCACAGCATCGCTGTAGAACGGGCCGGCCTGCTTGGCTTCCGGGGCTATCGGGAAGGACAGCTCATTCAACTCCATCCCTGCATCACGGCAACGACTTTGAAAAGCATTGAAAGTGGCCTCGTTGCGTTCCGTTGCCGAGATGAGGACCTCGACCTGAGGAAACATGCCGAAAAGCTCCTCGATAGTCCCGATCAACGGTGGTATGATGCTCTGATCGTACGTAATGTCTGCCCCGAAGACAACATCGATAGGCATGCCTTGGTTCCATTGTTGGTCCTCGGTGCCGACAAGTGCGTGACCCCATTTAAGATCCATCGGAGTGATTATCGGGCTGTCTTGCAAGTCGTTTAGGAAGAAAGACTCTGGCAAGTTGTTGATGACATCGTCGGACCCGTCAGAGGCAATAACCTGTGCCGCACAGAGGTGCTTCGCACATAAAATGGCCAGATAGCCGGTACCAGCGCCGAGCTCAAGTACACGCTTGCCGCGGATTAGTTCTGGGTTGACGCAAAAATACTGGCCCAGATGAAGCGCTGCCTCCCACGTACGAAGGCCGGTAGTGCCAGAGGCCGAGATCAAAGATCGGGCCTCCAGAAGTGTGATTTCCGAATTTGCAGCCTCTTGTAAAGTCGTCGTTTGTGTGAGCTCGGACAGATGATATGTCACATAGGATTTTTGCTGGGCGCCAAATGTCTCTGGAGGAATGGGAGAGGCGAGCAGTTCCGCAAGTACATCCATGAGATCCTCGGAGACGCCCTGATACCTCATTAGACTACAGCAGGGAACGTTGGATGGTTGCCAGGCACATACATGGGTGTCCCAATCCTCAATGCTGGATTCAACCCTCTGCACCAATTCTTTCAGGACTCTGAGCTGGTACCTGACAGGCGGAGAGTAGCTAGAGCCGTCAGGAGAGAACAGTTGCTCGTGTATGGCTTTCTGTGTGCTCTCCTGGCGCAGGACTGGTCCTTCTGGGTAATCAAGATCTCGCTCTAGTTGCAAGAATTGACGACAGAATCGATTGACCTGGGCCTGGGACAGCACACGCGTGTCTTCCATCGTGAGAGTCTCGCAAAATGCAACACCGCAAACACGGTTGATTACTTGAGTTGGTGTAGCAATTATAAATGTGGATATGGCTTCGGGTGAGTGTAGAAGCTCCCAGCTACTGAAAGGGCACTTGCGCCTGGCCAGTAAGGGTTTATCGGTGATGGCGAAACCTCCAAACCACCAAAGTCTCCTCTGAGTGCCAGGAGGTTTCCTGGGAAGTAATTCACGGGCTTGATTGCTTGAGTCGCAGCAGCTTGATTCTACTGTGCTCCACGGCATTGACTGTTAGCGGCCGTGATCATGGTAGTGACCGCCATCGGTGAAGTTGAGCCACAGTGCGAGACGCGAAGGAAGACTAGACCCATATCACGTGATCAGACCACACCAGCCGACAGCCTGAGCCCCAAGGCAGCACAGATTCCTAGGGCTTGCCTGCCCACGGCTAAGCGAACCAGTAGGCCGCCCCTCCGCGAATTTTCATTCTCGCCGCCCCATCACAATATCTCGACAACCTCGAACGACTGACCCAACAGGCACCTGTCTCCTCGCCAATCCTCACGAGACATCAACACCCATCAGTCGCAAAGATGGCGGATTCCGACGCCCCCGTCACGCTGCGTACGCGCAAGTTCATCCGCAACCCCCTGCTTGGCCGCAAGCAGATGGTCGTGTGAGTTTTTACCCTCCAGACATCCCACAGCCTTTTGCGCAAGTTGCCCCGTGTATCCTCCCCTCTCAATCCGAGAAGGCCACGACGATGCAGAAAAGAAACCGACCTCCCGACAACGATCGCCACACGATCACGCTCGAGGCCGACCGATTTCTCATCGATACTCGAACCGCGAACGGACAAGGGAAAAGGAAAAAAAAAAGAGAGGAATAACAACACACACACACACAAACCAAACAACTCGTGGCTGTCCGACTGCCTGAGCGTGCCTTCTTGGATGAGATACTTGGGATACGCGGAGTGCGAGGACATGTGATCCAACAGAACAAAATATGCTGACCTAGCGTGTGTGTTCCAGTGACATCCTCCACCCTGGCCGTGCCAACATCTCCAAGGAGGAGCTCCGCGAGAAGCTCGGCTCCATGTACAAGGCCGTCAAGGACCAGATTTCCGTCTTCGGTCTGCGCACCCAGTTCGGTGGCGGCAAGACCACCGGCTTCGCCCTCGTCTACGACTCTCCCGAGGCCATGAAGAAGTTCGAGCCCCGCTACCGCCTCATCCGCGTCGGCCTCGCCACCAAGATCGAGAAGGCCAGCAGGCAGCAGCGTACGTCCTCACCACCACCGTCATCGCCGTCATCATCGTATAGCGAGACGACGACGACAATGGCGGGCCCCACAAGCGCACGTCAGCCAGCTAACATGTTCCAACAGGCAAGCAGCGCAAGAACCGCCAGAAGACGCTGCGCGGTACCGCGAAGGTCAAGGGTGCCAAGAAGAAGAAGGAGACTTAAACGGGTCGCGACCCCAGGGCGACAACCGATACCCACCCGGCCGGGCCTCCTTTTCGACCGATGGAGAAAAGAGATCGAAGGGTCCCGCGGCGCGCCCTCTGCCCGGCCGGAGCGGAGCGGATTGGGGGAGGAAGTCCCGAGGGCCAGAGATTCTTTGGGGCTTCCTTCCTCTGGCGGGTCTTTTGTGCATTACGTACGGGCTCGTTGCATCGCTCGGCACTTTTTCTCGCGTGTCGATAAAAATTGGCTCTTTAGAGTACGAGGCGAAATCGGAAGGGAATGGGTTCATGATTCTCTCAATACAATGCATCCAAATTGATCTATTTGACTGAAGGTGATTCTGTGTGAGGTTGTGACCGAGCACGTACTGTGCCAGGCTCAACAACGGTATCAAGACACTCGCGCTGGCCGCCAGAAGACATGCCAGTGTCGTTCAACCCTGGGATCGATCGTAACCATGCGCTCGTCGCGATTGTGATAGTGATTGACAGGTGGATGGAGTGTCTTGACCGTGCCTCCTAGTTAGTAGAAGTCTGCTATGCTGTCCTAAGAATACAAACTCCGGTACACCTCTGCTAAATACCTATCCACTTGCAGCCCATGCAGAACGCCAATGCCAGCGTAACCAACAATCAAAATTCGAAGCCATAAGCCTATGATTCCAGGTCGTCACTCCTTTGCCCTCTTTGACGGCCTCAATGAATCGTCAGGAAGACCACTCCTCTTAGTGCCCGGCAAACTACCCGTCCTGATGTCGTTGTCGTCCTGACTCACTCTCCTATGAGGGTACTCATTCTTCAAGCCTTCGAACGCCCCAGCAGTCAGTCGGTCACCCGTGCTGAAGAACGGATGCTGCAGCGCCTTAGCGGCCGTAAGTCGTTCCAGAGGGTCATACTCCAACAGACTCGAGAGAAGTTTGAAGCCTTCAACGCCAAGAGACACAAGGGGTCCGGACGATTGCGACGCCTGCGATGCATTGCTCGCAGCACCTTGGCTGACTGTACTCCAATACCACTTTTCAAGGTTGGAGCCCTGTGGCAGACTTTGATGATGGCTCCGGTGGTGATGGTGTGCAGAGGACATGGGTGGCTGCAGCGTCGCGAGCTGGGCGTACTCTGGCATGGAAGATAATAGCGGCCAGCGCTCTTTGGTTGGCAGACCCATGATGTCTACAATCTTTTGCATCTGATTCCGTTGGAACGGAACAGTCTTCTTGCTGTCCATCTTGGCCTCCTCCCCCTTGAAGATGGGACGCAGGGACAACAGTTCTGCAAAGATGCAGCCAACAGCCCACATGTCAATGGCAGGCGTGTAATGCCTGGAACCTAGGATGAGCTCGGGAGCGCGATACCATATAGTGACGACGACCTTATCACCGCTGAAGAGTGAGTGCAAGGGCTTGTCAAAGCGACGGGCAAGGCCCAGATCGCCAACCTTGACCTCCCCAGCCGAAGTGACCATGATGTTGGCGGGCTTCAGATCGCGATGCAGAACCCAGTTGGAGTGGATGTACTGGCAACCGTTCAGCAGCTGGAACATGATGCTTTTGACGGTCTGCGAAGGAATTGGGTGCCGAGGCTGTTGTGTGTGGTGGTGGATAATTTGGAGAAGATCGTGCTCCGCATATTCAAACACCATGAAAATGCACTTGTCCTCCAGGATGATCTCGACGAGTCTGATAACGTTGGGGTGTTTCAACTCGCTGCAAAGCGACATCTCGCGGATGGCACTCTGAGAAATGCCCGTGTACGAGATTTGCTCGCCCTCCTTATCGGGTTTGAACTTCTTGATAGCAAACTCGCCCTTCTGGCCTTGCCGGCCAACGGCCTTGTAGACACGGCCATATGTTCCGCTGCTAATGAAGCCAATGACCTTGTACCTCTCTATGACGCGTACCTTGGACTGGTAGGCAACATGTCCGGTACCTCGATCTGTTGGATCTATAACACATTGTCAGCCCCTGACGTAGTGTAACACATGATGACGTGAGAGTAAGGATGTAGGTCATGTACAGGAACTGTGAAGCCCGCCGTATCCGACGCCTCTCCACATGGCTGAGGATTCAAGGAGGTGAGAGACAAGTGGCCGCTTGCACTCGCAGATAAAGACAAATATCAAAGCAGCCTGCCCATTTGATGATGCGGATCTTATGAAGAAGAAACTGGTGAGACGAGACTGTAATATCCGAGATTCCCCTTCGATAGGGTGGCGTGGTGTGGTACACTATGGAGAACCGGCCAAAGGCTCACACCGCCGGATGTCGGGTACGTTCGAGTGCGTCGAGTATCCCGACTGTGGCATGGGCCAAAACAATCCCAGGAAGATGAAAGACTCGAAACGCACACGAGGGGGGGGAGTGAAAGCGCTCATATGAGTGCAGCGTGCATGTAGGTCGGTAGAGCGCGCCAAAAAAGCAATGCCCGACAGCAGGGGTTCGAGGGGTTGGAAGGCAGAATGCGAGAGCCGACCTGTTGTGGCTAAGCTGCCCGACCTGACCTGGTCTTGAATGGAATTGATCCAAAAAATCGACGAAGTGGATGGATGCAGTCCTTTTCCCCACGCTCAGGCGACCCAAAGACAAGTGGCGTCTCTCGCAAGCCGGTGGAGCATCGATGGGGGGGACCAGTTACGGGCTGGAACATGCACAAGCACAAACGAACATGCGCACTCGCAGGCTGGTTGCAGGTAGCAGAGGCCGGGGCAGTCACCGGGTAGCTACCCGGGGGGCTGGAAAAATAACGAAGGGGGATAGATCAGATGTATGTGTGCGTGTGTGTTTGTGCGTACGTGCGTTGTGGATGGATGAATGAAAGAGTGTGGATTGCGCCCCCTCATGATCGGCTCGCACGATGTGGACAGAAGTGGATAAGTCCGGAGTCAGGTCAAGAGAAGGATGAGCATGGGACATGGAACATGGGGCATGAATGCATATGTCCCGATTGGCATGGAAGACAAACAAACGAGCAAGATGGGAAGGGGATGGAAAATGATGCCAAGTTGGTAGAGACTGTGGTGATGAGGGGACGGACGAGAGCTGTGCCATGCCACGAATACACCAGAAGAGAAAGCGCATATGCAACGTACCTTCAAAAGCTGCTTGCACACTCCTCTTCAGATTGCCGGTTCTGATCCCTGACACTGAAGAGGGACCCGAAGCGGCGGATGGCGGATTCGTCAGACTCATCGTCTCCGCTCAATCTGTCGTGGATCTGTTCAGATTCCTTTGCCCCCTCATTCGGTTTGTCCGGGTTTTGGTGGCTCGTTGGCTCAGTGGCTCTCCGATTAACTGGCTCGGTCGGTCGCTTGGCTCGGCTCCCCAACGCCAGAGTGACTCGCTGTTTCTCCGTCCGAATCCCGATAGATGGTTCAGGCAAGCAGGACGCCGGCTGAGTGCGACAACCGAACTACCGGTTTGGTGGGGTAGGCCGATGAAGGTGAAGGGAATGCCGCTGGATCATTTAGCAACAACCTGTCGCGGGTAGAAGGCCGCGTAGGCCCGTCGGTCGTTCGGTCGGTTTGTCGGTTTGTCGATCCAAGCAGGATCAAGCAACGTGCGAACGGACGGACAGACGCGTGAGCCTTGTTTGCTAATGGCCAATCGGCAATGAGTCGCGTAGTTTTGCTTCCTGCTGATGATGTTCGAAGGTAGGGCGCAAGTCGTTTGGAGACCTGACGGGCGTTGGGGGTGATGGCAAACAATTGTCTCCTTGCCCCGAGAGGGGGGGGGGGGGGGCTTGAAGTGACACGGCAGCTGCGGTGGCGGCCCAGTGCAGTCGCGTTGTGTGGTTGTGATGCACTACTGGCTAAAATGGACGCCGGAGAATGGTTGAGGATGCGCCAACAGTTGAGACTGAGTATATCTGACACACGTCGTCAACCGCCTGTATATTGTGATGAGGATATGGAAGAGTAGGTAGGTGGCCTTGGTGTTTGCTGTCTGGCGAAAATGACACGGAAGCGACTGGTGAGAGGCCACTGGGCGGATGGTCTGCACCTGAGCTAACGGCATGGCACCTTCCCGTCTTCCCTTCCCTAAGGTAGGTAGGTAGTCAGACCTCGACTGCCTGTGGTAGGTGAGATGCACGCGTGTCACACCGAACGGGGCTGCGCCACCACGGTGCGGATATTATCTCCTCCGACACAGTACACTCGCGGCCAATGCAGCCTCAGCACGGTTCCTGTGTCTTACCTGGCTGGGTAGGCGGATAGCTAGCATTATACCCATGTGGACAGTTCAGATCGGATGGAGAACCAAGTCGATTCAACTTTTTTGTTTCATCATGCTCTGCTTCTAATCGTGGCTAGAAAAAATCAAACCCCTTACGACCTATCACCCTGTGAGACCACTTATCGAGGACCAAGCTTCTCAAGCACCCGCGGGCCCTGCTCGTCCCACTCAGCCTTGGTCACCCACATGCTCTCCTTGTCCGCCATGATGTTGGCCAGCACGGCACCTCCCAGGAAGACCATGTGCCTTCGGCGCGGCGGGTCCTCTATCCGGACCTTGAACTTGCTTAACCGCTCAGGGTTACCGCCCAGGACGCGCGTGAGCCACAGCTGCTTCAACTCTTTTTCCAAACGTGACGGAAGACCAGGGTACATGCTGCTACCGCCCGACAGGACGATGGCCTTGAATAGCGACGAACGCACGTCGACATCGGCCGCCTGGATCGTGTTGAACAGGAACTCAGCCATGCCCGGCTGCTCGCAGTCGACGAGGTGCGGCTGGAACAGACACTCGGGTGCCTCGAAGCGCTCGCTGCCGACGCGGATCACGCGACCGTCCGGTAGCGTGTAGCTCTCCACGAGCGTCGTAGTATCCTCGCTCAGCCGCTTGTCGAGCTCCAGGTCGTACGAGACATAGCAGAGCTTCTCCTTGATCTGGCGCACAGTCTCAAAGTCGGCCGTTCGGTTGAGCGCGTATCCGCGGCGGAGCAGCAGCGCGATGAGGTTGCGCGTGACATCGCGGCCCGCCACGTCCAGTCGCCGCGTCAGGTGGTTCAGTACCACGGATTCGTACACGGGCACAATATGGGTGACGCCGTCACCCGAATCGACGACAACGCCAGAGCTGAGGCCTGCGTCTGTTAGTCTTCCGCGTGCGCCTTCCAAGCTCCATTCCAGAACGTACCCTGAGCGTAGAGCGCCAGCACGGCCTGGATCGCAACGTAGACGCCGCCGAAGCCGTACCGGTCGAACATGACCTCGCACATTTGCTCGCGGTTCCTCAGAGGGTTCATGGGAGGCTCTGTGAGGAGGATCTTGCGGCCGCGCGGGTCGACCTTCATCTTCTCGAAAAAGGTGTAGTCCCAGAGGTGCTGCATGTCATCCCACTTCTTCACAATGCCATTCTCCATCGGGTAGCTGATCTGAAGCATGGTGCGCGCCGCGGCCGCTTCGTCGCCGCACATAATGTCCTTGATGGCCAAGTCATTGTCGCCCTTTTCCTCCGTTCGCAGGATCGGCCGTCCGACCATCGATGGGTATTGGAACTCGGGAAAGTTCTGCGCGGCATAGCCGACCTTGAGGAAGCCGGTTCCTCCGTCGAGGACTACGTGACGTCGTTAGCTAGGTTCGGGGTCGGCGGCAGCCAAAGCAGGCGGAGCGGCAGCGGACGGCCAAAGGATACATACCAATTGGTGCCTCCGCCATCTTGAAGTGTGTTCGCGAGAGCTGCGAATAGCCTGCAGGTGGAGGGAGAAAGTCGATGTCGGATCGCACGGGCTCTGGAAGCTTGCCAACACACGAGGAGGGATTGGGAGATCAGGAGTGGCGGGTGATGCTACGTAAGGCAGGCGTTGTCGGTGG